ACATCATTCACCCCTTACATTTTTGCCGCCTCTCCTTTCAAAATACACGGAGGTGACACACAAAAGTAAGGGGTGAAGGTGGTTTCTATGTGGAAATCCACTGGTTTTTGTCTTGAAAATTATAATCCCCTTACCTAAGCCTGCTAAAAGAAGTAGGTTTTCGTCTATCCCTACCCCAACGCCTGCTAAAAGCAGCAGGATTTCCAGTACATTAAAAACCTCCTTACCACTTTCCCGCTGGGATGTCCTATTTTGTTTCTTAGCAAAATTTTTTGGCCTATTTGTATGTTAACATTATTTGTGTGTTTATCATAGTTTAGTTTTTGTTTTAATTTGTATTTTTCTATCATTTGGTTTGCTTTGTTTTGGGCTAATTGTAGTGTATATTTGAGTTCTTTGTTGTCGTCTTCTATATTGTAAACTGGGTCAATGGAGTTTGAAGAAAAGGGTATGTTTGGAGCTATTTTACCAAAAACGAGTTCGAATGGGCAATAGCCGTGTACTATTGAGGGTTGTAACGAACTGTTTTTGTTGCTTTTATGCTCGCTACTTGATTGTGCGGCTAGCTCAGTAATGGTTGTACGTTCGTCCCACCAAATTTATATGTTGTGATTGCCCCACCAGTGAATGAGAAGACAACGTTGATTTTTTGACTTCAAACTTGTTTATTTCATCTCTAAATCTGACAATTTGATATATTGCTCGCCTCGGTATGCTGCTCTTGACGCTCTCTGGTACGCTTCCCTCGATGTCGCCTCCTGGGTTGAATCCTTCTCCTGTGCTCCCGCTCGATCGCTGCCGTCGATGTCGGGTACCTCACGTGATGGAGTTGGACTATCTGGGTTCCACCCTAGTCCCTACTACTCCGTGCTGGGGCTGTTCAATCCCTGGGTCTCGGGGTTTCGCTGCTCCAGGACTCTGGCAGACACAGCAGGGTTCTCGGCGTGCACGCCTTTAACACCCGTGCCGTTCAATTGCGCGTCCTTCGCGGCTTGTCGCACCAGAACGCAACTCTCGCCACGAGACGGACCAAGCGTACGCCGGATCACGGTCTGGTAGACTCTACAGTATGCGTCTGGTTCTTGACTCTTCCCCACCGAGGACACGTTTACTCGATTAAGGACTCGTATGTGTAGATTTGGTCAGGACCCGCCGGGCAATACGCCAGGCTCAATGTCTCCAACCAGGGGTGGTCACAGGCGCCTAGTTCGATTCGTGTGCTGCCCACAGGACCTCAGCTACCTGTGTCTCAATTCGGAGACTTGCAACTTTAAGTCTCGACGTAGCGATCTTGCTCCCTGTAGACTGCTTGCTTGGGATCCTCGTGTCCTTCGTCCACGCCGTTGATCCTTCCTCGTCCTGCTCTTTCTGTTCGTCCTCGCTTGAATCCTTGCTTGTATCCTCGCTTGACTTCTCGCTGTCTGATGTGTACTTGAGTTTCACTTCTCTTTGACTGATCCCGGCTGAACTGCGGGCCCGCTTATATAGGGCCCCCTGGTCCCGTTAATCCTCGGCGTTTCCTTTTCGTACGGGTCCAAGGTCCAGCGGAGATTCCGTTACTTCTTCGGTTGGATCGCGTGACCGGGTCCAAGGTCCACCGCGATCCCGTTGTTTCTTCGTTTGGATCGCGTGACCGGGTCCAAGGTCCACCGCGGCCACGCTATCCTTTTATCCAGCCCGTGATTATTTGTGGGGAGTTATCCAACTCCTCACATTCCCTCCTTACTTCGGAAAGGAAAACGAAGCTCGTATCCGCTCCGGTTGTTTCCTCCTGTTTCCTTCGTCGCCCATGCATCCCTCGAAGATCCAGATGCCCAGAATTCCTCCCGAGACACTTTCCCCGTAGAACTCCGTTCGTGGTAGACTCTCCCCTCGAAGACATAGACATTTCCTTTATAGGCGTTCCCCTCGTAGACGTTCCCCCCGTAGACGTTCCCCCCCGTAGACGTTTCCCTCGTAGACGTTGTAACGCCCTAAATTGAGGGCGCACAAATTTTAAGTTATTATTTTTTCTTTGTTATAATTATTAGCTATAAGTTCGGACACGGAGTCCTCCACCCAGTATTAGTTTAAGTATTACAAAATAAGGATATTTTGTTAGATTAAGCCAAGACCCACACCCCGACCCTAACGCGTTATCGCACTCGCGCCCCGAACGCGATACTCGACAAAAGTGCGATCTCTGACCGGAGAATCGCAGCCAACTTCGCGATTACCGGGGATTAGCTCGGTCTCTTCCGTTCCTGACCTTTGCCGAGTGCAGACGCCTGCTCAAGGACCCCTCCTCCGGGCACCAAACATTGACACGCGTTTAGTGACTAGCGATCCGTACGGCTACCGGTATACCCACACCACCATCCACGTAAGCCAAATACACCTATTGTGCGAGCAGCAGCCAGGGCCCCCCTCTTTGAATAAAATTAACTAGAAAAGCTATATAAAATCTCGTGAATTATTACTACACCTACACCCCTTTTCCTTCCCCTACCCCGTAGCCTCCGAGTCAACCGGAGAGTAACACCTTAAGATCCCTGCAAACTCCGAGTCCAACCGGAGTGCAGTACCTTATAATCCCTGTAGACTCCAAGTCCAACCGGAATATAGCACCTTATAACCCCTGTAGACTCCGAGTCCAACCGGAATATAGCACCTTGAAATCCTTGTAGACTCCGAGCCCAGCCGGAGTGTAGAACCTTGGACTCCTTGTAGACTCCGAGTCCAGCCGGAGGGTAGAACCTAAGCCTCCCCTAATACACTCCGAGTCCACCCGGAGTGTAGATTCCCCCGCCTCCGCAGATTCCGAGTCCAGTCAGAATCCTCCGCCGTAGCCAACTACCACCGAATATTCCCGGGATCCTCACCCCGCAGCGGGATCGCTCACAGTACCTCTTCCCACCGACAGAGGGCGCGGCGGACTAAATATTCCCAGGTTCCCCGCCAAGTGCTGAGATTACCATTCTCTCCACCGGTAGAGGGCGTAGCAAACCAGTTTTATTACCCGGTTCCCCGCCAAGCAGTGCGATCGGGTAGCACCCGTCTTTAACCGAGACTACAACCCCCTCATACAAATTCCAACTACAGGTTCCACCCTTCTATATAAATTTCTTGTAGAGATTCCCTGGCCCCGATTGAGATTTTATCCCGGCCAGAGAACAAACATTACAAGTGGCGCCCGAGCAGGGACCTGATTGGGAGAAAAACCCAGGAAAATTACCTCCTGTATGGGGAGTGCGTAGTCTTAAGACGAGTGACATAACCTAAAAATTCCGCGAAGAAAACTAGAGCAGGAGTGCATCGACCGTGAAAAATAACCTCAACGAACTAGTGAACGCGTCCGATATCCAGCCCACGTGCTGCTTCGCGATCCCGTACAGTCTACGCGACCGAGTGCCTGTAAAAAAAAAAAACCATATAGCCCAAGAGGGCCAGTAGAGACTCCAACCAAAGAAGACATTATTCCAAGAGGACCACGCATTAGGGAAACGCTGTAAACATGGGACCCGACCAGAAAATTTCCGGTGCGCCCGTTCCACACTTATTAACAAATCCTGGGGTCCCCTCGCGGTGGATTTATTCACGTTCGAAGGCCGAATTACTAGCCTTTGCTGACGAATTCGGATTCCCCGCCGAAGGCGTCGTCGACGACTTGCGGCGCAACTTTGCCACCCTAGTTAGGACTTCTGAACAAACCCAAGAGGTGTGGGCTCGACTCGCTGACCTAGCCAAGCAATTTTCCTCTCGTGCCCCGAGTCCCGTGTCCCCGGTGAACACGGACCGAGACATATTCTTCGAGCCGAACCCCGTCCCACCGGTGATCATTAACCGGGAACCTGCGATAGATCCGAGCCACGATCGGAACCGCCACGAGTTTGTCTGCGTCCCCGAACGAATTCGCAAATGGGGTCTTCAATTCGACGGGTATACAGACCCCTTAGCCTTTATCGAACAAGTCGAAAGCCGGGCCTTATCCTACGGGATCGACCTAAGACTCCTTCCGCGAGCCATGGCTGCTGACGAGCAGGGCGGAAAAATGGTTTCAGACCAGCCGCCTCCAAGGGGCTGACTGGACCACATTTCGACGCGAATTCCTCGAGTTTTTCCTTCCACCCCGATACCTCCAACGCTTGGACGACCAGATTCGGAGTCGTGAGCAACGGGAAGGGGAAACGTTCAAAGACTTTATGTTAGACCTTCAAGTTCTCATGCGCCATACGGGGTACTTGGAGGTCCAAGAGCTGAATAGGTTGTACGAAAATATCGCGCCGGAATACCAGATGTATATCCGACGTAGCGAGTTCCGAACCATTGGGGAACTAACTCTGTTGGCCACCGAGTTCGAGGCTGTCAAGAAGCGGAGTTTCGAAAGAAACAACTATAACCACGCCCCTAGAAATACGACAGCTTACCACCCACCTGCACAGGGTCGTGCGCAACCTACGTTTGCCGAGAGAATTCCCCACGGAAACACACCGCGTAAATCGCCCGAACCCAGAGCTGCCCCACCAGCTCGGGTTAATCGGGTAACAGCCTCAGATCGCCGAATCGACGTGCGGGATGCTTGCCGGAATTGTGGAGCACCGGGGCATTTTAGCCGCGATTGCCGGAATCCACGACAGTATTTCTGTTGGGACTGTGGACGAAGAGACGTCCGAACCGTCGAGTGCTGTCGACGCCCACAACCGGGAAACGGGATGGGTCCCCACGACCGGCGGAGTCCGACGGGACCAAATCCACCCGAGAACCGCCAGTAACTGCACCACTTAGGATAGAGAGGGGAAGGATCGCCGCCGAGGTCGACATTGGCGGACACGTGCGTTTAGCCATCGACATCACGAAGTTTCATTAGCCAGGACATCGCCGATGTAGTCGGCCAACCACACCAGTTTAGGGAGATTCGCACGCAGATCAACCTCGCTGATACGTCTCGAGTAGAAGTAACTAGGTTACTCCTGGCGGACGTGACACTCGCACGGAAGACAATTCAGGTTCCCCTTCTAGTAATGCCCGCCATGCTAGAACCTTTGATCCTAGGGATGGACTTTCTCGCTTCCATCGGCACCACCCTCCGATGTGGTACGGCAAGCCTCACGCTGTCTCGGCGAAGCCCAGGAGAAGATGAGCCGACCAGGCGTATCGGAACGGAACACGGCAACCACACGGAACCACCACCTCGACCCCGACCACGACGACCACTCAGCCACGAAAATACGCCCAGGACATCGAGTACACCATCAACGGAACCGCGGCTTGGCATAGCCAATCATGACATAGGAGGACCACAGAATGACAGGGTTATCAATGTGCCCAAAGAGAACAACGAGGAAAACACAGAGAACAACGAGGAAAACACAGAGAACAACGAGGAAAACACAGAGAACAACGAGGAAAACACAGAGAACAACGAGGAAGACACAGAGAACAACGAGGAAATATCAGAATATCAACAGAGAACAACAAAGACGGAACGGCAGCAGAGAACACACGAGGGATACCCGACGTAGAGATCGAGACCCAGGGGTCTCAACCAAACAACCAGGAGTACCAGGAAAGTGACTGCGAGATTAATCCGCAAGTCCAAGCGTTCCTTGACGAACATCTAGCACGATTTGAAGGAATGACGGGAGTAGCAAACATAGCAGAACACCGAATCACTATGAGGGATGACCGGCCGATTAAACAACGCTATTTTCCGAAGAACCCGGCCATGCAGCGGATCATAGACGAACAAGTGGACGCGTTGTTGGAACAGGGATGTATCGAACCGTCGTGTAGCCCGCACAGTGCCCCTTTGGTCCTGGTCCGGAAGAAAACCGGAAAGTGGCGCATGTGCGTGGACTACCGACAACTAAACGCAAAATCTATCCCGGACGCATATCCGTTGCCACGTATTAATCACATCTTAGAACGACTGAGAAATGCAAAATATATCTCGACCCTAGATCTGCGCAATGGATACTGGCAGATACCCATGGCCGAAGACAGCCGGGCATGTACCGCATTTACGGTACCCGGACGAGGCCTATTTCAGTGGCGAGTCATGCCTTTCGGCTTGCATTCGGCCCCGGCAACGTTCCAGCGTGCATTAGATAGCGTGATCGGGCCAGACCTCGAACCGTACGCGTTCGCCTACCTCGATGACATTATTGTCATCGGAGCCAGCCTGGAAGAACACATGGACAACCTGCACAAAGTCTTCGAGCGATTGAGGAGAGCCAACCTGCGTATTAACCAGGAAAAGTGCTCATTCTTCAAGAGGAAACTGGCCTACCTCGGACATGTGATCAGCGACCAGGGCATTCACACCGATCCGGACAAGGTAGCCGCCGTACGAAACCTGAGCCCTCCCACGAGCCTACGGGAGCTGAGGAGATGTCTCGGAATGGCCTCTTGGTACCGGCGATTCGTGCCTAACTTCGCCACAGTGGTCCAGCCCATGACGAACCTGCTGAGGAAAAACCAACGGTGGAAGTGGGAGACGGAGCAACAGAGTGCCTTCGACCTTCTGAAAAGTCTACTGACAGACGCACCCGTGCTGGCATGCCCAGACTTCTCTGTCAAGATGACACTCCAGACTGACGCCAGCAATTACGGACTCGGAGGAGTATTGACCCAGGAAATCGACGGCCAGGAACGAGTTATTGCCTACGTCAGCCGCAAGCTCGACGCCGCGGAGTTAAATTATTCGCCCACAGAAAAGGAGTGTTTGGCCATAGTCTGGGGAATACGGAAATTGCGATGCTACCTCGAAGGTTACAGGTTCGATGTAATCACCGACCACTTGGCACTGAAATGGCTGGACCAAATAGAAAACCCAACCGGGAGAATTGCTAGATGGGCTTAAGAGCTCCAGCAATACCAATACGACGTACATTACCGTCGCGGGAAGTAAAACGTAGTAGCCGACGCCCTATCTCGACAACCTCTGGCACACCTACAGAGACTTACGCAAGGAGAGCACCAATGCAAGTGGTTGCAACGGAGAATGAAGGATGTCCAGGACGATCCACAGAAGTTCCTCGACTTCATCATCGAAAACGGAGAACTCTATCGCCACCTTGGCCATCGTCCAGATGACCAGGACTACATACCATGGAAACTGTGCGTAGCAGCCGAACACCGAGCTCGGATTCTACATGAATGCCACGATGCACCCACGGCCGGACATCTTGGCGTTAGGAAGACAATTATCAGGATCTCACAGAAGTACTACTGGCCAGGGATGTTTCGCGATGTGCAACGTCACGTACGTCAGTGTATCCTGTGCCAGAAATACAAGGCAGAGCAGCGGCAACAAGCTGGGAAGATGCTAACGAGACAGGTCACCGAACCCTTTGGCATACTATGTGCAGATTTCGTCGGACCGCTGCCTCGTTCAAAAGAGGGGAATACCATGATCCTCGTCTTCTTCGACACCTTCACCAAGTGGGTTGAATTGATACCCCTACGGAAGGCAACCACGGCGACTCTGATACGAGCCTTCCGCGAACGGATCATCAGCCATTTCGGAGCCCCGAGGAAACTGGTGTGTGATAACGGATCACAGTTCACCAGCAAGGCGTTCAAGGACTTCCTCAAGGAAATGGGAGTAGAACTCCAATTCACCGCCCCATACTGCCCACGAGAGAACCCGACTGAGCGCGCGAACCGCACGGTCAAGACAATGATCGCACAGTACGTGGAGAGTGGACAGAACACCTGGGACAGTTTGCTACCCGAATTATCACTCGCGATCAACACAAGTGTCTCAGAATCAACCGGGTATAGCCCAGCCTTTCTTCTACAAGCTCGAGAACCGCGGCTACCTGGATCCTGGTACGACCGTGTGACCCCCGGAACAGCAACATCGCCCCAGAGCCCATCGGAGAGAGCAGAGCGCTTGAAGGAAGTCTTCCAGATCGTCCAGAACAACCTTCAAAAGGCCAGCAGAGAGCAGGGCAGGCACTATAACCTGCGCCGTCGAACTTGGAAACCCAAGATGGGATCACTGGTCCTCGTGCGGCAACACCACCTGTCCAAAGCGGCAGAAGGGTTCTCAGCGAAGCTCGCCCCAAAATTCGACGGACCGTATAAAGTGGTCGCTTTCCCTTCGCCCAACGTCGTCCGAATCCGCTTACCCGGTCAGCGGAAGGGACGACTTGCTAATATTGGAGACTTAAAAGCGTTCCATTCTTCTTCCCCAGGTAACTCCGACGATGAAGACAGCGAGACCACCAAGGAGGACACCGGCGATCAACCCGGGCCGTCCCAACGAAACCAACCGGCCGACGCAATCAACGAGGGGTGATCTTAAGCGCCTCAACCTTCCTTTGTGACCCGCTAATGTTAAAGTCAAAGCCAGAAAATCCTTTCGCTGCTGCCCATTTATCCATACTTTTAAGTAACAATAGAACTAAGATAGTTTAGTTGCCTCTTCCACAGATCGACCAACATGGAAACGATCGTCCTGTCATCCAGCGACAGCGAGGAGGAATCTGACCGCAGATTCCAAAACAACCGCCAGTCAAGGGCCACACGAGGCCCTCGGCTACGTCCAGGAACGGCGTACGCCGAGAGGTCCACCCGGTCATGCTCGACGGGAAGGCGCCAGCCAGAAGGCTCTGGTGGAGCGACCCCACCCTCGTCAGGACCCAGCGCCTGAACACGATCCCGCCACGCGTCAGCCAGCGAGTCGGAGGACGAGCCGATGTCGTTCCCCGTTCCGACCAGAGGAGGCTCTCCGTTTTACACGGACGCGGCCGGACATCGGATTTACGAGGAATCCCGTCAGCGAGACTCGAGTCCAACCGGGTCACCAGAGAGCACATACAACCCGTGCGGACGCGGCCCCAGCTACGAGTCGGAGGACGAGCCGATGTCGCCCCCCACCCTGACCAGAAGAGGCTCCCCATTCTACACGGACGCGGCCGGACACCGGATATACGAGGCATCCCGTCAGCGAGACCCGAGTCCAACCGGGTCATCAGAGACAACACTCGAATACAACCCGTACGGACGCAGCCCCGACTACCGAGACCACCCGGAACCCTACGTAGAAGACGTCAGCAGCGACGAATCCGGACACAGGGAACAGGCGCCCTATGGTGAGGACGCTCATTCGAGTGCTAGCCACGAGAGTGACGACGATCCCCAGGAAGGGGCGGCACATTACGTGTATACGGGCGAGGACCGTTACGGATACCATCAAGGGTCCTGGATCTATCTTCTCAAGACGAGCTGGGAGATGATCCAAATGGAGGCACCATACCGGCCACCCGACGACCCGGTCGTAACTTTCCCGCCGTCCCCCGTGCACCTGTGCATCATGGGGCCCGACGAAATAGAGGGAGCCGATACCCTAGGCGGTCAGCCGAGATGCCCGGCCGACATCGACTGTTCCCAAGACGAGGAGATGGGACCGGAGTCGTCCACCACGTCTTCTCTGCGACCCAATACAAAGCTCTCTCACGGGTCGCCAGCGATCGAACCCCTTGATGCGCTTGAGCTACCACACTACCCTACGGGTAAGGCAATGGAGTGGAAGTCCGAGTCCAGCGATGACGAGGAGAGCACCGGGCAACGCTTCCGACGAAAGGAGCCTACCCTTGCGGTGGTGCCCTACCAGCCACCACCAGTCCACGGGACCTGCCCCATGACTCCCCCACGAGGAGCAAACCCGGAACAAGTCCCGACTACGCCAGCGTCCAACACCTCGGACACCTCAATGGGAATGTCGCCCGCGACGTTACAACACCTGTTGGGACAGATCACGCCGGAACTGGAAAGCCTTTGGTGGGAGTCATCAGACGAATGGAACGGATTTAACAACACACAACCCGAGGCGACAGCTCCAATCGAAGATCGCTCGGCCCCGAAATTAGGCCACCCTCCGGTGGCGAGCGTTATCCACTCCCGGCTGGCTGGACGTGCAATAGCGCGGACGGACGAGTCCCGGAGGAAGTTTGGCAGGTCATCTGCGAACGTCGCCCCGCAGCCCGTGTATCTAGGCAGCGGTTTAGGATTTCGACCGAAGACGGATCGTATCAGGTCACAATGAAGCCGACCGGCACTGGAGCCGTTTCTTTTCTTTCCCCGAAGTAGGGAGGGGAATGTAACGCCCTAAATTGAGGGCGCACAAATTTTAAGTTTTTATTTTTTCTTTGTTATAATTATTAGCTATAAGTTCGGACACGGAGTCCTCCACCCAGTATTAGTTTAAGTATTAGGCTGCAAACATAGTGCGCGCTGAGACGAAGATTAAGATGAAGACGAAGCTGAAGACGAAAAACAGTGCAAAACAATTTATATGAATTCGCTCCTCCGTAAACATAGTGCGCGCAAAGACGAAGACGAAGACGATACGCAAGCAATCAGCTTCAAACGGTGCAGTACTGTTTTTGAAGACGAATCGCTTGCTATTTTGCCTTTGTTAATATTTCTCTCTCTTTCTACCCATGCTTTGGCGCAGCGCATGTTACAATTCACACAGGTATAATTGAGGTTTTGTTAAAATTTGTCCAATTTT